GCTCGCCTCTCGTCTCTGCGTGGGAGATTTGGTCTCCTTGTCGGGTGGCTTCAGCTGTGATAATTTAAATTAACTCCCTTGCTTGTCTTAATGCAGCCTTGACAGGTGGGCTGGGTGGGTCTGGTCAAGGCCGTTGGGTGCATAAATCCTGTTGGTTGATGTTTTGTTACCCGACAGTGCAAAGGCCAGTGCCATGGGTGCGGCCCACCCGCCGTGCACAGCTGCCCCAGCGCCCGCAGGGACGGGGATGCGCCAGGACTGCACCCGGGCGTTGAAGACCCCAGCACCTGCGATATCGTCAAGGCCACACAGTAAGGACACTCGTGCGGGATGTGGAAGTGGATGGGAGTGCCCGCAAATGACAGCCAGCTTGCGTATTTTTACAAAGGAAAACCTTGCGGTTTCGTTTTCTCCCTCTAACAAAAGAAGAAGAAATCACTTAAAGGCACTATCATAAGTATTTTTATCACAAACGGTAGCTCAGATAGGTTTGTTAGGTACAAAATTCTACTCAGCAAAGTTTGGCCCAACTTTTTCCAAGGCTTCCAGTGAATGCGTTGTGGAATTAGCTCAGGTAGGAGCTGAGGGGTGATGGTTGCTGTGAGTTACTTTTTCTGTAATATGTGCCTGTCTCTAAACCAAAGGATACTCAATAAATGAATAAGTAAATCAATACGTGTTTTTTCTCATTTAAGGTATGGACTAGTAGAGCGATGCAAAGAACTGGTGGAAGCTGGGTATGACGTTCGACAACCAGACAAAGAAAATGTGACCCTCCTTCACTGGGCAGCGATAAACAACAGACAGGAGCTGGTTAAGTAAGCTCTTTTCCCTGTGAAATTAACACAAGCATTTTGCCACCGTTATTTATAATCCCTTTCTTGCTATTATACTTCAAAACAAAGCATGCTCCTCCAAGAAGAGCATAACATTCAAACTTTAACCCAGTTACCTTTGTGAAAATGTCACCGAAATGTGAAGTTACCATGGTTTCTTTGTATGTGAGATCATGTAGTACATGCAATCATTAAATTTTCCTAGGTTTGGTTTGTTTAGCAAAGATTAAAGCTGATTTTATAAGTGCCGTGCTAATTACTGTGTTTTCTCTTCAGCATTGTCTCAAAACAGCATCGTTTACTGTGAAAATACTCATCCATTTGCTTCTCTAATGACGTATTATTTTTTTATTATTAACTGTTTACTACTAGAGTTAACGTTATCTTTAGCAGAATTTTTTGTATTATAGCATGTGAATTTTTTAATCTTTTGTGTTGCCTTTACGCAGATACTATATTTCCAAAGGTGCAATAGTGGATCAGCTAGGTGGAGATTTGAATTCAACTCCCCTTCACTGGGCTATTAGGTATGCTGCTTGCAATTAGTAACTGTACATATGTTAGTATTAACAGTTACAGTAGCATTCTGTGAAGCGCAACGGTGGTGATCTCAAATCAAATTCTGTGGCATTCTTATGGAAAGAGTCTGAAAGGAAATTGGGGAAGGAGGGGCATATCTAAAAGAATTATTAAGGCAATGCTTTCATTAAAATTTCCAGGTTTTTTGTCATTGCTGTAGTTTCATTTCATGTATCATTACAGACAAGGACACCTACCTATGGTCATGTTATTGTTGAAATGTGGAGCGGATCCCAGTCTTATTGATGGGGAAGGATTCAGTAGCATTCACTTAGCAGTGCTGTTCCAACACATGCCCGTTGTAGCTTACCTCATATCGAAAGGCCAGGTATGTTGCTGATGCCCCAAGTGTTGTTTTCCGCTTATGAGTAGTGGCCGATCTGTACAATAAATATCAGAATTAACCGTTTTGTTTTCTAGATAATAAGCAGGTACTTGACAAGTATTTCCCTGTGCTAGGAGTTCAGAGAAATTTGATATATATAAAATACATCTCATACTCACCTGTTCTTTTCATCCCCACACATAAACATTCACCTACAGTTCAGAGTGGTTAAGGAGAGTTGTTAAGGCTGTGCAGGTTTATGGTGCTGTTTAAGTACCATCTGGCTTTTAAACTTGATAACAAAAAATATATGAATTACATACATCATCAAGTATTTACTACTTTATTACAAACTTGTAACCAATAGTCTGTGCAATTGTCCATCACTTGAAGTGTATGGAATAGGTGATCAGACCAGGTCTGAATTTATTAGAAATTTCTATGTTTTCTGTAATTTTGTATTATATCCACTCGAGTTAATGACTGCCTAGCTTATCTGAAGTAAGCAGAACTAATGATGGGTGTAAAATTTGCTAATAAACATGACAGGAAAGGTCTTATGGTCCAGGCTGTTTCTTTGAAACATCGTGCATTTAAAGATTTGCTAAGTTTATTTTATTTGTCATAGAGCTCTCTTTAGTAGAGTAACTGAGTTCTGGAGTATAGGTATAGGTCGTGTATATCACAGAGTTCTCAGCCTACGTACCTTCGACTAAAATTCCAAGTAAATCTAATGTAATGCTGGGTTGTGGTGGGGAGGAAGGAAAGCTTCATTGTGCAAGAAGGAGTATTAGGTAACACAAGTCGAATGTTTAAATAATAGTGTAGAGATACATAATAGATTCTTTTTCGTTGCAGTAAACTAGTTTTAATGTACTCGGGCGTTCTGTTACTTGCCTCTGTTTACACAGGGGAGATGGTTAATGTTGCCTTCCAAGGTGCACTGTATTTATACTATTTTTCAACAAAAGAGGACAAGAAATAGGATTGTTGGCTTCTTGGTTGGTAATTCGGTTTCTTTAAATTTTCTTTCCATTAGTGAAGGCGAGCCAGTTGTATGGCTCCAAATCTGACCATCCACCTCTGTTTCCTGAAATCACTGGTAATCACTTCTTGTCTTTTTCCTATACTTAGAACGTAGACACAACAGACCTCAATGGACAAACGCCGTTAATGCTAGCAGCACAAAAAGTGATTGGGTAAGTGGTGAGTGACTTCAAAAGAAACTATAACATACACAAGAAGTGGTGAGGTGAAGTTTTTCTTATAAAAACTTTTTTTTTAAATTGACATTTCTTGCTCTTGTAGTTGCACTGCTTCGTGGATCGGGAGTTTGGAAGTAGTGAATTGGATATAGCAAAGTCAAAAGAATTTCTTTAAAAAGTTTGTGGCTGAACGGGGTGCAGCATTATTGTGATTTTCCAGGAATTAAAATAAATGGAGGTGGACACAGGAAAAGTGGTTCAGAATAAATGTAGAGATGTAAGTTTATACACAGTGTTGTAAAAAATATAATCTGTGTATATACCTCATATTTGGTAAGATGGGAGGATAGTGTGGTTTAGAGGAAAAACCTTCAGGGCAGATCCTGAATTATAAACTTGTATCTATAATTGATGAGCTCGTTCTGAGACCAGGCGTTGTGTATCTGCCGTTTTTTCACAAGTGAGAATAGGAGTTTTTATAAGATATTCAGAAACTTTATCTCCAGTGTAGATTGCCTGATGTTTGTTAACTTTTATACTTTATTTTCATCTAGACCAGAACCCACGAGGTTTCTCTTGAAGTTCAACCCCTCTCTCAGTGCTGTAGACAACGTTCAAAGGAATACTGCACTGCACTGGGCAATAACAGCAGGAAATACTAGTGCAGTGGATTTGTTGCTAGAAGCTGGTGCCAGCCTGGACATAAAAAATGTCAAGGTACAATTTCGTTCGTGATTTGATTCCATGTGACATGTGTGTAACAATAAATCTGAATCCTCTTCCCTTTGTGGATACCCTTTGGCACAGAGATTGATGTAGAGAAGGTGTTCTTGGCCTTTCCCAAAAGGAGTTAGCCCCTTCTTGAGATGTGGCACAAAGCATAAATACAGAGATTCTTTGCAACGTTCATTTAGGAAACAGCCAAGCCTTTCGGTCACTCTGACCATAGTTGTGTCCTTTGCAGATCCTACTTTTTTTATTTTTCCTTGGAAGTTGGCTGCTTTCTACTTCAAAACATTGTCATGAGGAGTAATGACTTTGGCCCAAATTTTAAAAATAACACTGTCTTGGTATCCAGTGAGACTCTTGGAGACTTTAAAAAGATGCGTACGTCATCCTGTGAAAACCAGTGTTTGACAGTGCCTGTTTGTAAATTTAAAGGGCTGGTCGCATATGGAAGTCTTCATCCTGATATTTGTGAAAACTGATAATGAGAAGTATAAATGTTGAAACTCTCAGTTCCTATGATAATATCGTTATTCAGGGGGTTTTGTAGTGATCTGTGCAGCTTTTCCATCTGCTGCAGTTTTTTGTTTGTATGTGTGACTGTTAAGGTATCGCTGTTTGGATTTAAAAAGTTAACATCAAGAAAGCTTCCCTTTCAGTAAGTGTATAATACCGTAGCAGTGTTTCAGGTTATTAGAGAAAGCCCAGTGATAACTCAAATGGATGCAATCTGGTTGCAAGTATCAGGTTTTAGAACTACAAAGTACTGGCTTAAGCATGTTACAAGTCTGAATTTAGGTTACCCTTGGGGGAAAAAAAAAAAAAGGAGGGAGGAAGTAACTGCCAAATTATTGTTGGTTTAGCTGTATTTATTTCTTGCTTCTGTTAAAGGAAATAATTTCTGTGTTAAGTGCATAAAGACAGACACATTTGTGTTTTTAAAGGGAGAAACACCACTCGACCTTGCTTATCAGAGTCTGAATCGCTTCATAGTTTATATGGTAAAAGAGGAAGAAAGGATGAGAAGCAGAAGGAATAACATGCTGCTGAGAATAGTAGAGAAATACGAGGTAATTTCACAAGTCATAACTAATGGAAATAAAGCTACAGCATTCTGTGTTTTGGGTAACATGCCACTGAACTCTTCTAACAAGGATCTTCTAAGGTTTCTGAAACTGGGTAAACAAAAGTGAAATTCTGTAAAAGCACATAGAGTTGATTTGGGTATTTTTCGATTTTGTTTTTTTGTGATGTGTTGTTCCCACCCTTCTTTGTGGTATGTTCACATGTCACTTTGTCTGACCTGCCTTGAGTTTTTCAGCATTTGTTATTGCGTTATACATTATTTTGAACTAAGTCCTGCTTGAATGCTTTGTCATATTTTGTCAATAATTATTTTAATAGCTCTTCCTGATATTGGCAACTTCCTTGACGTTGATGGGGGTCGTAGGATACATAATGAATTTAAGTTCTGATTCTTGGCTTTTGAAAGGAGGTCTGCTTCTCTTCCTGCTGTTTGGGATGGCTCTGTTTGTGAGGTTTGTGGCTTTTTTCTCTCCGTACATGTATTTATTTGTTATAGATGCCGCGTAAGGTACCTAATGCACTATTATTTTCAGAGTTTACTTTCACTTAGCATAAAAAAGACCTGAAAAATGGTTGCAGCGTGTGTGAAGGATGTCAGTGTATGTATGCTTTAGAGTGACCAGAGAAACTGAACGTCTTCAGATGTGCAAAGAAATAGTTTCTCGTTATGGAAAGATTCAAAATTAAACCGACCCTATAGTGTTTTAGCAATCTGGTATCTAATTCTAATGATAAAGAGAGTGTTATTGAAGGTATGCACCTGGTGGAAGCTGAGATACCCATTCACAATGCTCAGAAATGGGCTCTCTCTGAAGTTTTCCTTCTGTATTCATGACACAGAAGGAGTTTCAATGAACCTCTCTCCCTCTCTGCTCCCCAGACCCCCGAGCGTTATCCTAAGCTCTTCTGCAGGTTTCCTGCTTTCTTCAGCAGTTGTTTCAGCAGTCAGTATTCCTTGAAATGACAGCGCTGTCGGTGTGCAAATAGACAGAGATTGCACTTTTCACCTTGTGCTGCGACAATTCTGATATATATAACGTTAGGCTGGAAAAGAGCTTTCTTCAGTTTTATTTTTGCATTGTTAACCCCTTACATGTCTGGCTAAGGAATGCTCTGGAGTGACAGTCCTTGATTGTTTTGAGAGAAACTTGAAGTGTACCGAGTGTGTGAAATCTTTAAAATAACAAAACTGCGAATTTATACTCTATGGGGTTATGGTTTTAAATACATTAGAAAAACCCACCACCTTCTTTTAATACTTTTTCAGGCAATTCGTGGGCCTCAAGAATCTAAGGTATCTTCCCACAGCATTTCTGCTAAGTTCAGTTTTTTGGATGTTTGTGACCTGGTTTTTCTGGTTCCTGCCTGATATCCTTTATGCTTAAGAAATGCAGTAGAGCTCTCCTTACGGTTCTTCATAAATCCAAGCCTGGTCATGCAAATACTGAGCAGTCCCAAATAATTCTATGTGACTGTTAAGATCTGGCAAGATTGGTTTCCTTCCATGAAGCAGGGGTGAACTAACTTTGAGTTTAAATTAAAGTTAAATACAGGCTAAAAATCTGTACCTTCTTTTGCCTTCAGCAGATAGTTGTTTACAATTCTCAACTGTTTCTTATGTTGCTGGAATATCAAAAGGAAAACATCTTTGTTACAAACCCAATTGTCACTGTTAACGTCTTTTATGTGACTCTGATCTTCCTCATTGAGACTTTCATACCGTAATGTATTCTGGCATGTAGCATAACCAGGTAACACCTGCCTTAATAATAATTTTCAAAGCATCTCTTCTTCCAGAAATGGCAAGGATTTGACAGTCGATGGTATTTGTGCTTCTGCTTTTTAAAACATCAGCAACACCCTCCCTAGCCCCCCAAAACCCAGGGAACAATTTCTTCATGCCCCTCCAAAATAATCTGCCGATCTCCTGTCTGTCTTTATTCACAGGTTATGTTGCATTTTCAGCATACGAGGCATTAATGTCTGCCTTCGTTTATATCTTTGAAGAGGCTTTGTACTGATGAGTGCAAAAATGTATTAGTAGTTGACACTTTTCTTTTTGGTGCCCTGCTCTTTTGTTACACAGGGGCCATCTGTTTATTTATTGATTAATCTTTGCAAAAAGGCCTTTAGGGAGATACGTAGAACTGTAAATAATATTCTACTAAACCAGCTGTAATACGTTGCTACACAATTTTAATTAATTTTAAATTACTTCATCCTTTAAGTGGCATTTTCTTTTGTACTGTTCCCAATTAGGATGTCCTTAATAGAATTATCAGGATTAACTTCGATGAACTGATCGAGGATATTCCCACTGGGGGTGCATGCGTGTGCTTGTCTAAATGAAAATCGTGTTACTCCATTTTGCATTGTGAAATTTGAAAAGTTTTTTTGATGTCATCTGATTTTTTTTAAAAAATAAGTAAATCCAACAGAGGGATGAGAGTCAGACACTTTGAAGATAGTGAGCACAGCAATATGGAATGCAGGCTTGGGCTCTCTGCGCCGTGACAGTGTCACAAACTGGTCTTAAGGAGCCTGAGCGTGAAACTTGTCCCAGTCCACATTACTCTTGCTGCCTGGAGGTGGTTAATCTTGATGGATTTTTCTTCCCCTTTCACCTTGACTTGGAGGTGGGTTTTTTTATTCCACAGTGTAAAAGTTATGTTCTTAATGACTGTGTATCCTCTCTCATGTGTAATCATTTGTCTGCTAGAGAACTTGCAGCAAATAACAACATACAGTGGTAGAAGAATATATTCCTTAACCTGAATATTACATGCAACCGATATGATTCATGAAATCACTGGCATGTTCAGCATGGCAGGTCTTGTTTATTATTTATATAGAACTTGGAGAACTGATCCTGGATATATTAAGACTTCAGAAAAAGAAATGAAAGAGGTAGGTGTTTGTATAAAAACATTTTAACTTGTTACCACAGGGCTAGTAAACATCTCTCTGGTACTCAGAACAGTAAACATCTCCTCATTTCTCTGGGGTTTGACTGACTATATGAGAGATACTTTGTATCTTAATACCATCTCATTTTTAAAAGAATATTTCATGTTATTTATCGATTCTGGCAGCATAGATACTTTCCTGAAGAATCCTGCATGAGTGAAGTTGTATTTGTCTTTGGTGGTTTGTGTTTCTTATGGACCTTTTCAAATAGCAAGTACTTATTTCTGTTGGTGCTTGGCACTCAAAACGCTGATGAACTGCCAAAGAGTTAATGTAAAAATCTTGTAGATCCCCCTGAAAATCTGATCCAAACTCACTCATGAACTACTTTGCCTTTCAGAACATTGTAGCTCTTGCAGAAGCAGGTTGCATGGACTTCAGAACGTTTTGCACATCATGTCTTGTAAGTGACGCTTTTGTGTTTGTGTTTGTTTTCTTTTTTAAACTGGCTTTTGGTCAATAGTGCTGTAAAAAAAGTTTTGGAAATTGCTTGCCATGCAGGTGTTAAACAGTTTGTTCTGTATTATCTAGATTTCTTTTTTTTTTTCCGTTTACCACGACAAAAGAGATTCTTTGAGATCCTTGGACTCTAATCTTAATAAATTAGCATTATTGTATCCTTTTTAAAAACATTAAGATGTATAGTTCTCATCTATGTTCTGCGTTGTGGGATTTGTTACTTACATCTCTAATTGTACAAAATATGATGGTGCCTGTGAGATAATGCTCTAAGCCTTGAGGAAAACAGATGCTTTTGCTGTGACTCTATTCTTTTCCTTTGTGCTCCACTAGGTAAGGAAGCCTTTGAGATCTGTGCATTGCCTTGCTTGTGATTCCTGTGTAGCCAGATACGATCAGCATTCTCTGTGGATTGGACGGTGCATAGGTGAGAGTGTTTGATCAAATTTGAATATACTGCATATTTTGAAAGTTGCCGAAACAACATTTATCTTCTTAGAGAGAGCATGCCCGATATAAGAATACATAGTTGGTACTGAAGGGAGGTTAGTTAGATGGCAGAAAGAAAGGCAGCTAAAATGATTACAGAGGTAGGATAGTCCCCGTAAAAGTAAAGACAAAAAAAAGCCTGGGACTCTTCTTTAGAGAGAAGAAGGAACAGGGAATGTGATTGAGACATCAAAAAAAGTAAAAATCAGTTAAGATGGTGACTGTAGTGAATGCAGAACTGTTATTTGCCAAGCATATTGTATTAGAGCTAGGAGAGGCTCAGTGAGAATAGCAACTGGAATGAAAATTCGTAAAGAAAAAATACCTTTACGCAACAGGTAGCAAAATTTTGGAACTTACTGTAAGGGTTTGCAGATACAGGCAGTATCAGAAGGTTCAGACAGGGATTAGACAAGCTTTTGGCCAGGGTATCCAAAGTTAAATACTAAAAGAACTAGACAAGTGTGCACACTCTGACATTTTAATGTAGGAGCTGTGGATGAGGAGAATGAACTCCAGAAAGTGGCCGGGCTTGTTTGTTCTCCTGAGCTGATGCTGTCTCTTGTCATTGTTAGAGATGGTCAAGTGGAGCAGCTGGACCACCGAGATAACCCCATAGGGTGTTTTTTATGTTCTTGTGTTCTTTGACAAACTCCCTCTTTCTTATTTTCTGTCTCATTACTGATGATGCTCAGGACAGAAAGATGCTGTACATCTGTAGCAATCTGGTTTTGGCATATTCTTTTGCCAGCAGCTTTTTTGTAATGTTAAATACTTGAAATATATTTTTATAGTGTTTGCTGTTTACAAGGTGGTGAGACATCCTTCTGATCCGTTGTTTAAAAGCTTTGGGCGATGCTGATTGTAATTTAAAGAAAAAATAATTATGTGTCTTCGTGTAACAGAGTCTCTGACAAGTCTGGGGGGTTTTATGCATATGTTTGCAATTCTGAAGCATGTAAAGGTCAAACAAATTGAATAGCTTAGATTTTTCAGTCATATGAGAGAATTTTACTGTGTGTGCGGAGAGTTGTGGCTGCATAATTAGTTCTCTTATAGCTAAAACAGCTGCAGGCGTGCTCTGAAGAAGAGACAAATCCTGGGTGACTTTATCGGAACTAATTCTATTAAATAATTTGGGATGGCTTACAGGAGAAAGTTGAGAAAGAGATCAGGCTTGTCAAACTCTCTCGAGGATAGCAGAGGTAATAAGAAGTGGGTTTGATTCTTTTTATTCTGATTCATTTAAGGGGAAATGCAAATAATGCTGGATTTTAAAATGTCAAGCTTTTTTTTCCTTACCCCCAATACAGGCACTGGGAACCACCGTTACTACCTAATGTTCCTGTCTTTCCTGACGACGATGGGTGTCTGGCTGCTTTATGGAACTCTTCTGTGTATGTATCCATGAATTTATTTTAATTTAGCTTTCAAGGGAGGTGTATATATGATCTTTATTTTTCAGCATTTCATTTTCAGCGGGTACAGTTATACCTGCACAAATGGCAGCAAATTTCAGCAATTACATGACCTTGTAATTCTTTAGTGAAGAAGAGCCCTTATAATGTAGGATAACTAACACAGCACTAATATTTTTAATGCAAAAGTAGAAGGAGTTAATATTCTGTTACTTTGTTATATTGAAATGAGTCAATATTCAATCCAGAGTAAATTGAACCAGGTATGGTAGTGGGAAGGAACTTGGGAAGAAAACCTCTTTCTTGTTCTACTGACACAGAGGCAAAGAAGTTGCTCTGCTTTTAGTTGTTCAGGGGTTTTTTTATAGGTTAAAGATGTATATGGTAGGCTTTAAGTATCTCTTAAGGAACTTGCAGAAGTTGGACATTGCAGTTTACATCTATCTAATAGTGGTAAAATACCGCTTTACTGGTGTTGTCACCATAATGTATTCTTTTTGTTCCCGATGGTGTTCAAGTTAAATGATAAATTGTTGTTCTAAAATTACAAATAAGCATGATGCAAAATTTCAGAAGTCTGGATGATGAGAAACGATGACTTATATCAGCATCACTAATTAATTTCAAGCGAGTGCCTAGCCAGTGCCGTGAATGTTCCTGCTGTGCCTTATGAACACAGACCATAAAGGTTCTGCAGCCAGAATAGCAAGCAGTCACGTATCTGTGTGGGCGTTTCTAAGTGGGAACACGATACATCAAACGTGGTATTTCTAGAGCATATTGCTATGTTATATTCATTCTGTGCAAATAATCTTTGTTCAGTTCTTTAAGTGGCTTATATTAAAAACATCATTAAATGATTATGCATCTTATCAGATTGGTCAAACCATTGCGCAGCAAATTATCGTCAGGATGGAGCATGGACCTACTTCACCCAGATAATACACTGTTCTCCCTGGATTTCTTACATCTTTGCAGTAGCCTGTTTCCATACTGTATGGGCCTCCTTGTGGCTAACTGTTCAGCTGTATCAGGTATTGTTTTGCTTCAGTTCATGCTCCTGTCTTGGAGTCATTGCATTAAAACTTTTCCCTAGGTGATTTGCTACTGTAATATCTTTGCAACTGCTTTCCTTGACTAGTTAAGGTCACATCTAGGTGCTCCTCTTAAATCTCAGAGCAGTCCTTTAAGTTTCACTGGGATTCGGGTCGCTCAGCATTCCCTTGTTGAAAGTAGGATCACAGGCTGCAAATCGTCCCTCTAACAGAGTTCTGGGTTTACTACTCATCAAAAATTCCAAACCTATAAAAAGATGTATTTAAAGGCAAGAAACTTATTTGACTAATGGAACTGGTCTTACTGCTCCAAAAATGGCACAAAAGCTCCATAGCACAGGTAGTCCTGAACCGAAAATTCAGCTCAGCAGTTCATCGTTAGGCTGTATTAAATCTCATCTCTACAATAAAAATAGGTGACCTGGATTTTACCCTGATGAGGACTGTCAAATTTCTTGATTATGTTTTTTTCAGAGAGCTTGGCTATGCTAACAAAATTGCGAAGAGCTGTCTTAAAGCATCTAGCAAACAGCTTGTTTAGCAGCTTTTCAGAATGAAAAACAGCATCCTGAACTAAAGACTTGTTTTACATCTTGGTTTTGGGATTTTTTTTTTAAATACACAAATTTAATTGTGTACTGCTAGATTTCTGTAATGTCCAAGACACTGAGATATCATGCTGGGAAAAAAGTGATCTAGGTAGAATATTTACAGTTAATTACTGTTTCATACACAGTAACTTGCAAATGTCCTGCTATATGATATTTGGTGTTTCATTCGGTGATGGACCCTTGCAGCCATTTATAGTGGTTTGTAAGCTTTATGTTGATTATGAAAATAAGAATTGGAAAAATGAATAGGTAAGCAAAAATGCAGAGAAAGTGCCACATAAATTTGACAATGAAACTTGCTGAAAGAAGACGTGGAAACAAGAAAATGGAGAAGTTATTGTTGAGTCTCAGACATGTACTTCATCTTTTTTGCTAAGCTACTTTGTCTTTTTTGGGAGGTCTTTTTCAACCAATTTCTCAGGTAGAATATAAAAAAAATCTGAGGAGATAAGTGCTTAACCACCATAGATCCCATACTTCTACAGACATCTGTAAAAGTACAGTCTTTTTAGTTTTCCCAATTAAACTTACCTTCTTGGTGGAAGCATTAGTGTTACAGCTTGCTGGGTTCTGTTTTACCCCAAGTGATACTTGAAACCATACTGTTCAGTCGTTAATTATGGCAATAGTTACTTATTTGTTAGATACAGCCAACCTCTTCCCCTTCCTTCTCAATAGTATCTTCTGGTATCACCAGAATTTTAATTTCTGATGTTCTCATTTTAACTGTTGCTTACGTTTTCCTTTCGGTAAGGTTGCGTTCTTGGGATTGACCTCACATGAAAGAATGAATCTCCTGATGCAGAGAAAATCTTCTAAGCATCCTGTTTCACTCAGGAGAACTCCATACAAGTGAGTATTAACAGGCATCTTTTCAGTTATTGGCTTCACTGCTTCATCAACGCAAAAAAGCGGTGGTCTGCGGATGTGCTAGTCACACCTGTTAGAAGTTGTGCTGGGAGGAAGAAACAGCCCTTGTTTTCCCTGCTGAGAACTTCCTTTGCCCTAGGAAATCAACAGCCAGCACAAGAGCTACAGGGATGCTTTCTGCGTGGCTGTGTTTATAGGAAAAAGGTGTGCCAAAAACAGCTCGTAGCATTAATCCTTGGACCCTGTTTTGGGTGGTGAGGGGGTGTTAACCTTTAATTTGTTCATCAATCTCTATGTCTGTTCTGTAGGTTCAGAGAGTTAGTATGAACTGCCCCATTTCTAACTTCTCTTGCAGTATTTAGCTCAATAGAGATTAGTACCAAGGCTTCCTCCCAATTATACTAAAAGTCCTTATTTCCTCATGTGTGTTAACAGATGAGATCTTAAAAAGTATTAACTTTTAAATATCTGAGTTGAACTTAATCTGCTCTCCCTCTTTAGTGTAATACTGGTTGTAAAAGTTCAATAAGGGAATAACACTCACTAGAGAACTGGTTTTAGGTTTCTTTTCCTTGAGCTGTCTTCATTGACAGCCTTGTCTCATGGTGAATGTGTATCTTTGATGCTTGCAGTTGTCCTTTGTTAGGTTTGTTAATGCGTGTTTCTCTCTTTTTCAGTCTTGGATGCTTCCAGAATCTTGCAGACTTTTTTCAGTGCAGTTGCTTTGGTATGTTCAAACCCAATGTAATTGACTGGACGAAGCAATACAACCTTTTTCATCTGTCAAAGGAGAAAAATGTTCACTCTGTATGAAGTTTTGCTGAATTTCTACTATTGTTGAGCTGAAAGCTAAATAAAACTGGATATTTTGTTATTTTTTACAAATTCTCCTGAAGTTGCTTGTTTTTGTTCTTGTTTCAAGTATCAAACCTATTTGTATAAGCTACAGCAGATTTGTATGTGGAACAGTCGTTATATGTCTCTTTATATATAGCTTGAGCTTGAAACTATTATGTAATGAGATGAGACAATATATTTTTAAAGGTAAGTTTCTAGGGCAGAAATTCAAAACCATGTTGGTTTGCTTTATTTTGCAGGTAATGAAATTGCATTTGAAAAGCAAGGGGAATGTTTGTATTTTAAAAAATTTTATTACAATTACCCTGTAATTTTATTGCTTGTGTTGTGTTATCCTCTATGGAGGGTTTATATGTAATAAAATAGAGCTTTCGTGCTTCTAAGTGTGTTTTTACAGACTGAAATAGTGAGATATTTAAGAACAAGTAGGCACAAAACGGTAAGAAAAAGCCTGATGCTTTGCCTTATGTTTTGCGTGGATATATGCCCCGTTAGTGTATGAAAATGGGTAAGCGGATGATGGAAAAAAGCAATGTATATAAAAAAAGGGAATTATTACCACCTGCATGCTTAGATCTTGAACAGCTGTGTGTCAGCCACGTTCCCAAGAAAAAGCTACGATATCAGCCTGTAGCAACCAGCTGAGCGGTGTGGTTTTGAATGTAAGTCAGAGTAGGTAATAATGAAAACCAGCAGGGAAACAGATAAAACTCAGAAAACTCAAGTTAAATACCATCTAGAACTGATAACAGAAAAGTAGTGTAACGAAACACAGGTTTTTTGTTATAAGAGATGTGGGATTTCATCTTGCTGAAATTGCATTTATCTGTGACATTGTAGAACATGAAAGCACAAAGTCAAGTAAAAATAATGTGAAGCAGTATCAGCACTTTATTGTAGCTTGAAAACATCCAATAACAAAATTAACAACACCGTATTCTAAGGAAATGTTGGTTTTCTTCAGAAACATCTTTTTGAGAGAAAGAATTTAAAATCCTTTTTAATTGTCTTGAAGTGGGTAACATCTACTTTGTCATAACACAAAATGTCAAAACTCCACTGTGAGACTGTGGACAGCATTCTCACCAAGGGAAACCAGCCGAAATCGGAACACTCCGAGCCTGCGCTCTGCCTTAATGGGACAGTAGGCTGAGTCTTTAAAATGCAGGTCTCAAGTGTGGTAAATAATCGTTTTTAAGAAGTAAGAATGTTCCATGGGTTGTTTTTTTTTTGTCTTTATCATAAACCAAACGTGAGTCTTGTTTTCTCACTGTACTTTTTAAAGCTATTCTAAGAATTACTTAAGATACAAGCTCACAAATTTTTCCTGCAAAGTGGAAAATAATAAATGCCCTAGTTTCTTAGCAATATGTGATTTTTACTTGACAGCTATCGCTTGGTGGCATCAACAGCAGCTTGAGTCTCGCATCCATTTCTTCTCATTCGCATTCTTTCTTTTCCACTTGAGTGAGGCCACCGAACCCGATTCCTTTGGGTCCAAAATTTTTTGCATAGCAAACTGCAGAAGAAGGGGGAAGGTAAATGATATCCTGAATGTTTTCATATAGAGATAAATGACTTGGGGGTTTAGTGCTACTACCAAGTTTAAGTTAGTAAAAGGAAGGACATCTGAAATGATGTCTTTCCCAGAAGTATCAACAGGTTCTAATAGTGAAACTGGGATCACATATTTGAATTTAAAAAGGCACATACCATCTTCTCAAAAAAAAAAAGAAAAGAATATGTATTTAAGATCTAGGTAACATTTTGTTACAGCTCGTTTTGCCTGACAATGCACAGTAAAATCTGATGTGTGTGAGTAATATGGACTGAGTAATAAGTCTGAGTTTTTTTCAGAGGAGATGAAAAGGCTTAGTCCAGAAACTGTGGATGGTAGTTTAAAACCATTTCATTTGAATTCTGTATTGCTAAGTGTATACGGAGTTATTTAGCACAACTCTGCGAAGGGAGTAGTAGTGGCGAGCAGTTTTCTCTAAATATGCTAATTTGATCGCTTGTAGTTGTCAGTCTGTACTCAAAGTCAGACCTTAAGTATTCTTTAGGATTATCTATAAAATTCAGCCTAGTATATAAAAACTGCATTTTTTTCTCCATAAGCTATTTCTGAGTCAAGTGAAAACTGTGAACTTTGATCTGAGGAGAACATCTGGATGTATAATTTTGCATTAATGTGTTACCTTATGTGCTGCTGATATACTGGAAGTATCTTTTACTGGCAAGAATTCGTATTGGGACCGTGACCTTAAACAGATCACCGTTGATGATCTGTATGTTTGAGGATGCATTATTTCTCTTTGTAAGTGGGACTGTGCAAGTACAAGAGTCTGCCCAGGAGGTAAGGCCGGTGCTCCTGTTAAAAGCTCTGAGGACAGATCGAAGAGGATGTCATATTTGTAGAAAAATTAGAACTTTAGATTTTAAAGGTTAATAGCAGAAGATGCAACTGTGGTGTTGCCACAACTCTTTGCTTTCAGAAAGTTGTTATGATAAAATTAAGTTTTGATGAAGTTGTTAAGCATGCAAGAAGGTAAGTGGTGGTGGCAGTGCTTGGTCTGAAAAGACTCATTTTAGATTGACTCAATAAGCCAGTTCAGCTTATTACAGTGCTTACCTTTACAGTAAAGCTCTCCATCCTTGTCTGTAACGTTTGTAGATTCTAAACTCTTTCCACAGATAGCGCAGCGGAAGCACGTCTTATGCCACGGCTGAGGAAATTAAGACGACTTGTATATTACAGAAGGTGCACAGCTAACGCGTAAAAGAAACAGCTACTGCTTTTCATGGTAGGAAAAGGTTACATTTGTTCATTGGTCTCATGGCTTCCATTTTTAGGGATTCTAGCTTAGTCTTTTCTTCAGTTGCTTTATCCCATACGAAGATCTTGCCTAATGACTTTTTCCCTAGACTTCCATTAATAACAAGCGGGGAGCTGTAGGTACTACTCTTTGTTTTGGCTGGTTTTGATGCACAGAGGGAATATTGTAGTGAGAGCTCCTAGAGCAGAGAGCCTGTGTGTCATGCGAGACAGGCTTTCGTTTTTCTAGCCACAAGATCTCTTTAATATATCTACAGTTGCCACCACAAGTAAATGTTTAAAATTATAAATATCCCAGGAGGTGTTAGTAGAATAATAGTGGTAGAAGAACCAGCCTGTACAGTAGCCAGGAGTTGTTCTTCAGACACCAATGAGATGCAGCAAGTTGAAGGCAGCTTGCGAAAAGCACATGGTTTTAAACTGGAAAATATAGTGGACCCTCTAGCAATTTGCTAATTCATCCTCCTGTTTTCTTCATCAGGACTATGAGTAAAAATTTAAGAGATCAAAGACCTATTAGCTGTAGTTTATCACTACTATAAAAGCGTATTTTGTTTCTAGTGCTGTAGCAATGACTTACTTTTCCTCCTCCCATAATCTTCTCTGCAGCATACACTGATTTGCCACAACGAGGACATTTATCCACATCTACCATCTTTTTGGCAAACTTTGAAGGATTAGTCGGAGTCGAAGGGCGAGCAGACTTTGGTGATCCCCTAAAACATAATTTTTTAGTGTTTTAAAAATACTCTTTAAAACGTTGTCTTCATTTTAGAAAAATGATTTAATGATTTTTTTGCTAAGGGATAAGACTTACTAAATTACTGGGTTTAGACATGCAAAAGGGGTGAGGGGAAAAAAAGAAAATGGAAATATTCTGTGGAATTTTGTGTTGTGTGATTGAAAAGCTGTTACTATAACTGCTGGTGTTACGTGTTTTGGGCTGAGTATACGGAGCTGAAGGCAGCCACATGCAGAAAAGATTATATTTAACAAAAAGGAAAAAAATAATTCTGTTTCACTGAGAGGCAAGACAAGCTACAAGAAAGACCTCTATATTCTTTTTAACTGGCTGGCTGCTGGTACTCAATGAATGGAAAATAAAAACTAGGTTTTGCAGGCAGTTGTTTTGTTAGTCTCTGTATCATTTGGACAAAGAACTGGGGTTCTTAGCTGGCCTAGGTTCAAAAGCACATCAGAAAAGTGGTTTTGCTTTTTATTCTGGACTTTGTGCTTATGTCTTTGTGCTAGCTTAAAGCTTTTTACCGGACTGTTGGACTGCAACAGGTCATTAAATCTACAGGACACGACAGTTTTTGATGCAGACCGCTGCCAGTAATGGATTCATATCTTAGACAGAGCGGCAGTGAAATACATTATTTAAGCTTTTATTTCCTGCATGGCGTATTGGTTAATTGGTTTCCTTATGCTTATACCAGAGGAAAGCATTGCTGATTTGGAAACGGGCGGCTCTGAGAATTGTAGAAAAAATACTATAAACATGTACTGATGGAGATAATTATGTGCTTTTGGAAGATGGTATCCCATTAGAATTCCTTTGTTCAAACGTAGTCTCGGTGTGTTAGTGTTATCTGAGCCACGGGGAGAATTTAGCAATGTTATTTCCCCCACTGAGAGGAGAGTTAAGAGTATGTGGTAATACGATTGTTTCTCTAACAGTAAAACCTAACTGTATTTTAGCCTTTGACAGGAAAAAAAAATTAAAATCTCGCATTCTATAGTGAATGTGACTTCTACCTGCACTGTGCTGCTAATAGCAGATTACAATTGCGGGGAATATTTATGTCTGTGGTGGTGTATAAAGGCTCCTTCTGCAGAGTAATTGCCCATTGAAGGAGGAAATAACTTGTAGAGACAGCTTAAAGAACCGAACCTCATTAAAACGGGTAAATCACTGTTGTCCACTGGAGGAGAGGTTGTAGGCAAGTCTGCTCTGCTACTCTGTGCCAGATGTTGTTATGGAAACAGAATAAAATATCTGAAACAAATGACAAGCAGTACCAGAAAAAGGCGCGGTCAGTGGGATTTAACTCACTGTTGTTGCAGGTTCAAGCCCAGATGATCACCAGTATCAGTGCTGAGACATCCTGCCCCTTGT